GTCTCGAGGCTCTGCTGAAACTTGTCCACCGTGAGAGACTCTGTTTGCATTTCAAGAACCAGTGACATAGCTTCTCCTGGCATCACGGTGACACAGAAGCCGTCCCAGTGGGAAACACCGACACACTGTGTTAAAGACACTCAGCTTCCTGCTGGTTCTGAGCTCTCTGTCGGTGGACACTCCGTGGTCAGCACGGATCCTCCTGCTGGCCGTGCAGGGTCAGAACAGCTGAGTGTTCCTGCATCCCTCCGTCCACAGCGCCCACACTCTGGCCCCTGACTTGCTCCACCCTGTGTAGGGAGTCCTGCTGTGCTCTGCCCCTCCATTAACTTCCTCTGGAGATTTTGGGTGGCAGGGAGCTTGTCTGCCCGTCCACATACTGCCTCTCACACCTTCTAGCCGCATCACCACCGATATTCTTTTTGACCACAAATGTGACACCGTTCTCCGATCTGTCACTGCGGGGACAGTGCACTTAGCCTCTAGAGCTGCTGTGCCGGATCCCACAGGGTTTGGCTCTAGCAGATGGGAATTTGTCCTCATACAGTGTCAGAGGCCAGATTCAGGGCACGAGCTCGAGGCAGGCGCTGTCTGTCCGTCTGGAGGAAGGTCCTTGTTCCCTTCAGCACTTGCAGGCCTGTCCTTCCCTGGAGCTGTCCATGTCCTGGGCTTCTGGAGACGCTTGAGTTCCAGGGGTGCACTCCACTCCAGGCAGTTCTTCCTTGAGGGTCCCGCAGTCTCCCCACCTCAACTCTGCCCCCTCCACCTTTACCTGTAGTGAGGCCACATCCCGAGGAAATGTCCCTGTTATCAGATCATGTTGGGATGGGGTGAGACAGTGTTGCGTTCCACTCATAATCCTTTTACAGCTGGTTATCTGATCATGGGCATCTGACATAGTTTCCACAGTATGTCAGGCACATGTGTTTGGGAGGAACACCGTTCAGTCTGTGACTTAGACCATGTGACTGCCCAATTCAAGACGGCTGATCAAGCCTGTTTCCGACAAAGTTAGAATTGTCTGCTTAAGAATGTGTTTGTTTTTTTCTGTAAATTCTCAGAAATTTTAAACTCAAAATTTTTAGTTCAGTTCAAAACCTTGACTTCATAGCTATCAAGTTGAACTGTGTAGCAGCTCACCTTTCAGCAGGTGTCCGAGGCTGGAAATGCCGTGCGATGAGCCTGTCCATGGTTCTCCCTCAGAGCCGCTGGTGCATTCGACTCGTTGGAGAGATGAGGACACGGCAGTGTTCAGCCTGGGCTGAATATTACAGTGACTTCAGGAGCTAGAAAGGTTCTCAGGAATGGCCCTCCCTCCAGACGGGTGAAATCAGGATGCAGAGGCGAGGAAGGGGTGCAAGCATACTGTACAATTCCCAGGGGATCAGTGCGTGGGAGTGACTGAAAGATCGGGACCGTGAACACCCCAGCCCCTCCAAGGAAGAAAAGCTGAGCCTTCTGCCTCTCCAAATGCCTGCAGTCCTGGAACCCTGGGGTCACTACAAGTCAGACTGGATTTGATGGCAGATAATTAGAAAATGCAGCCAAGATTGAGACCCACACGGCAAGAGGCTGTGTGCCCATAGGAGTTGTTGTTATGTGCCGCCGAGTCATCTGTGACTCATAGCAACCACAGCCCTAAACCCTGCTCTATTCCTTGCCAATCTTATTTTCTGTGACACCCCTATCCCCATTACCCCGGTCACTGAATCAAACCACCTCATCAAGGGTCTTCCTCTCCTGGGCTGTCCCTCCATTCTCTCAAGCATGATGTCCGTCTACAAGGACTGGTCCCTCCTTGCAACATGTCCAAAGTATGTCAGATGGAGCTTCAGAATCCTTGCCTCCAAGGAGCAGCCTGACTTCACCCTCTCCAGGACAAACTTGTTTGTTCTCCTAGCAGTCCATGGTATATTCAGTACTCTTCTCCAACACCACAGCTCAAAGGCATCAACTTTCCTTCTATCATCTTTAGTCATTGTCCAGCTTTCTGATGCATAGCAAATAATTGCAAAGACCATGGCCTGTATCAGGAGCACCTTAGTCTCCAGACTGACATCGTTGCTCTTCAGAACTTTGGAGAGGTCTCTGACAGAAGACTTTCCCAATTCAATTCATCTTTTAATTTCCTGGCTGCTGGTACCAAGAGTGTTAATTGTAAAGCCAAGAAAACAGAAGCTGTTAACAATCTCAATCTCTTCATCATCTGTCATGATGCTGCCAATAGGCCCAGTCGAGTTGCAAGTCAAATTCAAACACAAAACCCATAGGATTGTGAAAGAGCAATAGTAAGTGAGAGAGTCGGTTCTTGAATCAGGGGCCCTGGTGCATCCTGACGAGCTCTGGTGGGATAGTGTGTAACGTGCCCAGCGGCCAGCGGTCCTACTCCACTGGCTGCTCCACAGGAGAAACACTGGCCATGTCCTCTGTGGGATCAGCTGCCTGGAGCCTGGGGGAGTGTTGTGGTGGGCCAGGATGGGCTGGAGCCTAGTGGGGGGGAGTGTTACTGGGGGCCAGAAAGGGCTTGAAGGCAAAGTGGTTGGAAGTCTGGTTTTGATTTTTGCACACTAATTTTGTACCTTGTAGCATTTCATGTTTTTCAAAATGTTGTGAGTTTTCACACTTTTAATGCAGAACCTGTGACCCAGTGGGGAACAGAGCTGTGTTCCACACGCGAGCAGGAAGCTGTGTGTGCATGCACGCGTATGTGTGTGGCAAGTGGGGGAGAGGGGGATGCCGAGTCTGCAGTTTGATGGCAGCAGCTGAAAAGAGGCCCCTGTGGCGGAAGGAAGCTGCATGCAGTGGGGGAGGTTTGTCACAGGGTCTTTCTGTGTTCCCTGCTCACTGGGGAAGCTGTTCTGGCTCCACGGGTGGAGAGGGAAGGCCTGGGGTGCTGGGACGATACAGCGTCCCAACTGTGGTGCTCTGCAACTGAGACATGTCCCAACTGCCATAGCAGGAGGGGCTCATGGCCGGCCGTGGGCAGTGGCTGTGGAGGGGGATCACTGTGGTGGTCGACCACCATGTTGGTGTTGCCACTGTTAGGATGTCCAGAGACTTCATTCAGAAGCAGGACCTCCCACATGTGACCCTGGCAAGCTCCCAGTGTCTTTGCCTGCCACCCCAGTTCCTTTTGACCCCTCCACACTACCTCTCCTGCCAGCTGTGTGCTGACTCAGAGCCTTCGTGTGGCTGGAATCCCCTTCCTCCTCTTCAAACCTCCAGATCAGCATGGCCCTGTCCAAGGGTCCCTTTCTCTCCCTGGTTGGCCAGTGGCCCCTTGTTCACAGCCTTACATTCGTCATTTCCACTAGTCAGGACCTGGATTCCGCTGTGACCACCTGTCCCTTCTTCATGTCAGAGTGATGGCCAGCTCAGCTTCAAGCCTTATACTTTGCACAGGCCGGCCTGCCCTGCAGGAGGCACCCACAGGGCAGTGGTTTGGCGCTTGAATGAATGAGAGTGTGGGTGAGTGAATGAGTCAATGATGGGAGGGAGTCTGCAGTGGCTGAAGAGTGAGCTGGAATGTGTGAATGCATGGGAAGGTAAAGGCAGGAAAGAAGAGTGCCTGTGCCCACGATGTGAATACTGTGTGAATGAACCAGTGCTGGTGACTGAATGAATGAGCAGGCAGATGAGCGAAGGAGTGGGCAGGCAGGTGAGTGGATAGCGCATGGTTAATGGCAGGAATGAGTGGGTGGGGAAGGGGATGAATAAATGGATAGGCGTGTGGGCAAAGGAGCTGGATAAGTGAATGAAAGAGTGGGTAGGAAGTGAATGATCGATTGGTTAATTGAGTAAACAAGCAGGCGAGAAAGCAGTGGATGGAAGGCCTAGTGCGTGACTGATTGAGTGAGTGGGTAAGTGCACAGGTGGGCTGGGAATGAAAGAATGAGTGGTGGGGGAGAGAATAAGTGAATTGCGTGGGTCAGAAAGTGAGCATTTGAATGAATGGGGATGGAGTGAACAAATGAATGGGTGGGCGAACAAATAAGTGAGCGAATGATGATAGTAGCAAGGTCTGGGTGGGGAGGCGCTGAGAGATTCATGAATGAAGCATGAATACGTGAATGGTGTGTGTGAGTAAAAGAATGCGTGAACACGTGAGTGACCGACCGAATGAATGAAAGAACAGGGAGGGGGTGAGGGGCGGAGGTGCCCGCGATCCGGAAGGATGGCGTTGAGTGCTGGGCGGTGAGATCGAATATGCGAATGAGTGGGCAGGAGGATGAGGAAGTGAACAAGCTAATGAGCGGGAAATGTATGAATGAGCGCACCGTGAGCGGGGGAGGGGCGAGGGCGGCGGCCTGGAGCACGTGGTTCCCCGCGGCCGAGTGGCTGGGGGGGTGGCAGGGGCGTGGCTAGGGCGGGAGGTGCGGTTTCGCAGGAAGGCCGGTCGTGGGGCGGGGCCTAGGGCGGGGCCTCGCCGCAGGGCCGGATGGGGCCGGAGCAGGGCGTCTGCTGGGGGAGTGGCCTGGAGCCCGGGACGTGGCCCTGCTGTGAGCCTGTGGTGGGGACGCGGCCTCGTGATGGCGCCGGGGTTGGCGAGAGTGTGACCAGAAGACCAGGGAGAGGATGCCAGGGACTCTAGGGGCGTGGTTTCGAGTCTGGCGCGGCTTGGCCCGGGCGAGTGGGGGCGTGGTCCAGGATAAGGGCGTGGCTTCGAGGAGATGTAGCGCGGGTGGGGGCGTGGTCTAGGATAAGGGCGTGACCTCGAGGCGGTGCCGCGTGTGTGGGGCGTGGTCAGGATTAAGGGCGTGGCCTCGAGATGGTGCCACGTGTGCGGGGGCGTGGTCTGGACCTAGAGCCGTCTGAACCTAGAGCGTGGCCACGAGGCGGTGCGGCGCCAGCGGGGGGCGTGGTCTGGACCAAGGGCGTGGCCTCGAGGCTGTGCCGCGTGTGCGGGGGCGTGGCTTGGGGTGTGGTCGGACTGGCAGGGGCGCGGCCTGGCGGCGGGCGGCAGGCTGCCCGGAGGAAGTCACGTGGGCGCGGGGGCTCACATGACTGGCCGCGCGATGGACCCGCTGTCTCCCGCGGCAGTCGCGGCGGCCGCAGAGTTGGAAGCCGACGGAGAGGAGGCGGGTCCGCAGACTGCAGGTACATCTCGCACGGCGGGCGGGTGGGCGGGGGCTCCTTCTGTGGGGCCATCCCCAGGTCCAGGGCCTGGGCTCCGGGCGCTTCCTGCTGCTGGGCTGGGGGCGTCCGCACGACCCCGGCCGGACCCCTGCCCTCTCCCGCGTGAGGCTCTCTCGTCCCCTACGCGGGCTTGCTGTGCTTGTCCCTTGGAAGCTGGGGGACCAGGGTTCGAGTCCTGAGTCCGCCTCCAGGGTCTCGGCTTAAACAGAGTCACCTGCTCTGTTCACAACTTGTAGCTCAGCTCGGGCGTCCCGCCGGGGCTCCCTCTGCCCCCGGACCTTTTGGGCAGCCTCGAACGCCCGGAACCTTCTTAAGGGGCTGGTCTCTGACCCCTCAGACTTTGGCTGCTTCCCTCCCTCCGCCTTTTGAGGCTTGAGCCCCCTTGTGCAGCTCGTGGCCTTGGACTGGTAATTTGACCTGTAAGACGTCTTTTTTTCTCATCTTTTAACCGGAAATGTGGACGCGTAGCCTCATTAGCCCCGAAAGGAGTGTGAGTTGATGTGTGAATAAATATATCAGAGTGCCCAAAATCTGGCCTTCTCAGTGGCTTTCATCCTAGGCTCACCTTCGATACCAGGGCTGTTAATAAGAGTTAATTATTCTTTATTGGGCCTGGGAGGGTGCACATTTTTCCTTGAATTCTTCACATTTGGGAACTTCCCCCCTGAGAGGCTTGAGGAGGGTGTTTATTCATTAGTGGGCAAGCGGCGTGGGGTCAAGGCTTTGCACTGAGTGGCTTTCCTGATAGGAGCCTGGTCTGTGTCCTGACCACCCTTCCCTCCCACAGAAGTCTTTTCTTCAGCTTTTATCTTATAAAGTGAAGACACGTGATAGTTTTTGCTGTTGGTTAGAACGTCGTGTTCATAGTTGGCAAACACCAAGTTAGCGTGTAGGTCAGTAGTTAAGAACACAATCAGTTGCTAACTTAAAGGTGGATAGTTCAAACCCACTCACAAGGCTGTGGGAGAAAGAGGCAGCCATCTCCTGCATGGCCTTGGAAATCTGTGGGACAGCTTCACTGTGCCTTTGAGGGGCACTGCGCGTGGGGATGGACTTGGTGGCAGGGGGTTTGGTTGGGTTGGTATGCCAGTAAGGTGCCCGGGTGGCACAATGATTAAAGAACACGGTGGCTAGCTGCACAGTCAGTGGTTTGAACCCCCAGCCTCTGCAGAAGAATCGGCAGCTCCTCTGTACAGAGCACGGCCTTGCCAGAGGTTCTCCGTCCCGTGGAGTCAGCTTGATGGTAACAGGTTAATATACACATGCACCCGAAGGAACCCTTGAGATGCAGTGGTTAAACGCTAGCTGCTGACTGAGAGCCTGGTACTTTGAACCCACCAGCCGCTCCAGGGACCGAAGATGGTGCAGTCTGCTTTGGCACAGATTCCGGCCTCAGATACCCTCTGGGTAGTTCTGCTTTGCCATCTAGTGCATCTGCGAGTAGAATCTCGACTCCACGGCAGGAGGTTGGGTTTGGGTGGGCCAGCTGGCCGCATGCTGTGTCAGGACTGCACACTGGACCCCTTTCCTGGTTAGACCTGGTGGGAAGGAGTGGGCTGGGCGGCATCAGGAAGCACAGTGTGGGCTGTGAAGATGCTTGGAGCTGCCGGCTGTGGCGGGGGCCGGCAGTGGCGGGGGCCGGCTGTGGCGGGGGCCGGCTGTGGCGGGG